ATCCCTTTACTCTGATCGTCAAAGCCATTAAATGATGGTACAAAAGGGTTTGGGAATTCTGTTGTAGGAACCTGATGAAGATGCCCTGGGCCTATAACCGCCAGAATAGTGGGATTCATATAGAGAACCCTAATAAAGCCTTCATCAGGTTCCTACATTAGCCACAGAGATCAGAGCCAACAGGAGCTTCTTCTGCATCAGCGTGCGGGTGAGCTGGGAGCTTGGTGAGCTTCTTTCGACGTTGCAAAGGTGTTCCTACCCATAGGCCCCAAAGTAGATCTTTTTTGTGGTTCATATATAGAGTTCTATAAGGTAATCCCAAGAAGGAACTATAGAGAGTTCTATAAGGTAATCCCAAGAAGGAACTATAGAGAGTTCTATAAGGTAACCCCAAGAAGGAACTATAGAGAGTTCTATAAGGTAATCCCAAGAAGGAACTATAGAGAGTTCTATAAGGTAATCCCAAGAAGGAACTATAGAGAGTTCTATAAGGTAACCCCAAGAAGGAACTATAGAGAGTTCGATAAGGTAATCCCAAGAAGGAACTATAGAGAGTTCTATAAGGTAATCCCAAGAAGGAACTATAGAGAGTTCTGTAAGGTAATCCCAAGAAGGAACTATAGAGAGTTCGATAAGGTAATCCCAAGAAGGAACTATAGAGAGTTCTATAAGGTAATCCCAAGAAGGAACTATAGAGAGTTCTGTAAGGTAATCCCAAGAAGGAACTATAGAGAGTTCTATAAGGTAATCCCAAGAAGGAACTATAAGGTAATCCCAAGAAGGAACTATAGAGAGTTCTATAAGGTAATCCCAAGAAGGAACTATAGAGAGTTCGATAAGGTACTCCCAAAACGGAACTTTGGGGCCTATGGGTAGAGGCATGCGTCGGGCTTTGGACCTGGGTCTCACCAACCGTTCCAAAGGCTGGTTTAGGGCTTATCGGGCCTAGGTTTCACCAATTTTTAGGGTTTAGGGGTTTAGGGTTTAGGGGTTTAAGGGTTTAGGGGTTTAGGGTTTAGGGGTTTAGGGTTTAGGGTTCCAAAGTACGGCTTGGGGCATTGGGTCATACTTCCAACTTGTTGGCGCTTCAAGGCTCCGCTTCTGGCAAAAGGCTTCTGAGGAGTAAAAGTTAAAGCCGTAGTGGCATCTCGTTCCTGTTTTCGAGTTGCCAACACTAGGCACGCACATCTGAGGTGATATTGATAGCGTTGATGTGGGGTTGTTGTGACTTCTTGCATCAGAGAAAGAGTGGGAAACAGGCGCTGAGTTGAATGTAAGACACTGGAGCAACAGGGCGGAATGTAGTACCGCAGTAGTGCGATCGCCATCATCAGTCAGGAACATCACTGCATTTTGGGGGAGGAGTGCGGTTACTATAGAAGCCTAAGTAATTACCAATATGATTCCTTAGGGTTCCTTGTTGTAGTTATAACACATAAAGCCCTATTCTAATCGGATCTAGGAGGTCGCCAGAGCAATAACAGTCAATGCTGAAGAGAACGCAGGGGGATGCTGTAATTCTTTGCTGTGTTGAGGTGTTGCGTGTATCAATCGGCACGTCTTGTGCTTCCTCTCCTGTTGCCAGAGACCTCCCTCGGGGTGCTTCGGACTCGAAATATGAAGTAGGTCCCCAACCCAGGCCAACAACAATTCTGTAGACCCTATCAAGCCCGTACAACGCCGCTGTAAAGCCCTATCAAACTGCAATTTACATAGCGGTACATAACGGATGAACTCAGTCGCAGGATCAAGACCCCCAAAGCCCCCACAGCGAAACCTTGTAAAGGCCCATAAAGATAACTTTCCGAATAGCAAAGTCCGAGTATCTTTCAAGCAGGCCCCTGACTACGAGTTGTTCAACCCTACCTGGATGAAGCGGGGACATCTAAAGCAGGAATAGCAAAAGCAAGAAGCCTGAAGTCGAACTAGGGTGTAGGGAACTTTGAGCAAGTCTCGTCTTTGCTCTACCTTCGGCTTCACTTCATCAGCGACTGAATAAGTTAACAATCGCAATACGAAGTGCTAAAACTCACAATGGCGGTCAGAATGCTACTAATGGTTCAGGGTTCCAACGAAGCACTTCGTGGAGGTTTTTGGTATTAGGCTTTTTGGGGTTCAGTGGTTTGTTGTTAAGTAAGGCCCTTATCAAGGGTCCTACGGGCTTTTGTATTCAGGAATCGAGGCCGATGCACGAACTAGCTACTGATTCGCGTGGGGATGAAGCGATATGTGGGATTATTGCTTGTATAACATACCGGGGTATGCTGGCTGCAGCTACTGAGGTTGTTCTCCGTTGAAGAAGAGGCGCGCTCGTATCCTGCTATGTCTGAAGCTGTGCACTGAACCCGAAGCTCTAAACCCCATCAAACCCACATTTCAGGTCTTCTGGCAAACTCCAAGGGTAGGGAAGCCTGAGAAAAAACCCAAAGGGTCCAATTGCCAAAGGCTAGACTGTTACTTGGACCCTTTAGGAAGGAGCTCAGCAAAAGCCTCCGAATACACGTGGAAGGTCATGAGCCTTTGGCCCGGAATACCTTACAATGCGATTATCACCTCAAGTCCCCATGCCTGAACATCAGAAATGCGGTATATGGCTGAAGGTCTAGTCTAGGGTCTGGACTTTATGGCTTCGGGTTCTCGAATCTCTTTGTTTAACATGACCGCACTTGAGCACGTGTGGAGGGAGTCTATCAGGGCTTTATACTTTGTTCGAGGGTCAGAGTTTCAATCCCGGGATTTTTCAGGATTCGATTTCCGGTAATTGACTAATTTGAGTGTGTTCACAGACCACCAAATCCCTTAACCCCAAGTCCCAAAGCCCTACGCCTGGCTGGAGGCCCGTGCTCCCTACACTATGTATCATGTCCACCCAGCCCTGCGCCATCACAGCTGACCACCCGCAAGGACTTTCGAGTTTACTAGAAAATCAGAGCAGACATTCTGCTGCGCGCTCCCAATGTCTCACAAACACATAGGTTCTGTAAGTTAGGGTCCCGTTTTAGGTCCAAATACTAGCATGGTACGGCACCCTTCAAAAGGTGTCCTGCAAAAGCTGATGTACTAGAGGTACCCTAATTTTAGAGCTATATGGTTTAGGGGTCTAGGGTTTAGGGTTTAGGATATACTCACATCCAGGACTCTTAAGTAAAGGTGTCTGGCGTAAAGCCCACGAGGTCTTTCAATCCGAGTGGCATACAGTGCTCCCCAAAGTTTGCACCTTGAACCTTGAATCCTGAACCCGCGGCCCCACGGTTTGGGGTTTAGGGTTGAGGTTTAGAGTTTAGAGTTTATGGTAGGGGTTTAGGGTGTTGGGTTAAGCCCTAAACCCGGAGCCGGAATGTGGAATCAGAAGCCCCAAACCTTCACCGCCAAAAGGGACCATAATTTTGACAACCATCGAGATTACTGACAGCCTGGAAGGCTCCCTTTGGAATTTTCCGACAATAGGGGACCCTAATATAGTACTCTAAATAGTAGGACCCTTAATATAAGGACCAAGCTACCCCTAGTTTTCGGAAACTCCCATGCATCAGCACTTCCAGGTGGCACGCATTGCCATCGCCTCTGACCCCGAATGCACGAGGCCAGCGGCCAGCCAAGGGATACCTCAGTCGAACCCCTGAACCCAGAGAGCCTAATGCACCCTTGAATTGGAGGTCTATTCCTGAATGATCTCTCTCCGCATGATTTTGTCATTTCAAAACGTACTCTTATTGTTTATTGTAGAACTACATTCAAGGGGCTACTGCAAGCAGTATTTCCATTGTACGAGTTCCGAACCGCAAACCCTTGGCACCTGAAGCGTATCTTTACTTGCAAACACAGCCCACACTTTTTCGGTACTGCACACTACCCCGCCCCTAAGCCCTTACCCAACAACATCAGATGCTATATCCCTACCTAAACCCTAAACTCCTAAACTCCTAAAAACTTTAAACCCTAAATCCTAAGCCTCAACCCTAAACCTTAAGCAACAACGACAGAGGCTACATCCCCACAAAGCCCTAACACCTCTAAGCTTTCAGCGAAGGAGCCGAGAGTCCGGGTTTCTGCTGTTTTTTTTTTTTTTTTGGGGGGGGGTCAGCCTTTTGGTTTTAGGAGTATATTTGGGGTTCAAGTCGGGCCCTCTGGCCTACTTGGAGGATCCGGGGACTCAGTAAGTAGAGAGGTATAAGTCTCAATACCGCAACTAGGATCCCCTTTAGGGTACTTAGAATTATTTTTTACTTGCTACCTATAGTATCCATTGTAGTTCCTTTTTTTCGTTAGCCAAAAACTCTATTATAGGATCCTAACCATAAAATTGGTTAACCAAAAAAAGGAACTACAATGGAGGCTATAGGTAAGTCCTAAGAACTACAACATGGCTGTCAAAGCAGATATGGACGAGTTCCTTCTGCCAGCCTACATCGTCAGCGTTTGGATGTACAGTCGGACCCTAAGCCCTAAGCATAGATTAGAAGTTGCCCCCACCCTGTATATAATTATAGTGACTTTGAGGATTATATTGGGGCCCTATTATATTCCTATTATACCACTATTACAGGGTGGGGGCCCCTTCTAAAGCATAGAGGAGTGGAAGGGAAGGCCTTCAGATGCTATGCTCAAGGCAGAGGCTGGGGCTTACCCGACCCCCACGACATTCAAAGGGAAAGGACGGACCCTTAATGGGGACCCCTAGCCTATAATGGGCTATATAATGGGTATATAATGGCTATATTATGGGTATATACCCTGGGGTCCTTATTTCCTTGTACCCTTTGAAACATGTAGAACGCCAGGCTATCTCTTGAGAGGGGTGTCGAGGACATTCTCCTCTACCTCAACCCTAAACCTACTTCTTGTGGAGGTCCGAAACCCCTAAACCCCTCGACCCCTGAACCGCTAAACCCCTAAACCCTAAACCTAAACTCCGAAATCCTAAACCCCCTAAATCCTGAATCCTAAACCCTAAAGTAGGGTTTTCAGGTAGTGCTTGTCGGCCGGAGGGGTCTGAAGCCATGGAAGGGGAGACGCGCAGTCTCATGAAGTCGGATCCTTGGGTTGCTGAGTTTAGGGTTAAGGGTTTAGGGTTTAGGGTTAAGGTTTTAGGGTTTAGGTTTTAGGGTTTAGGGTTTAGGTTGAGGGTTTGCAGTTCCCTAGGGATCAAAATAGCCCAAATTAAAGCCTTATACAGTATGGTCTTTGAGCCCAAAAGCACCCCTACCTATAGTCTCCATTGTAGTTCCTTTATTTGGTTATCCAAAATTTCTATTATAGGATCCTAACCATAAAACCGGTTAACTGAAAAAAGGAACTACAATGGAGACTCTAGGTAGGATTGGATTCATGTTTGCGGATTTGGGGTTTAGGGTTTATAAAGTTTTTAGTATTGCGGGTTGTTTAGGATTTGGGGTCTGAAGATCCAGGCTTCAGGCTTTAGGGTTACCGGTCCAGGTGGAAGTCCCAAAAATTTGAGAATCGACAGCATCAGAAAATGGGGAATGACATCGAATTTAGGGTTCAGAATTTAGGGTTCAGAGTTTAGGGTCTAGGCCAATCGACAACCACATGCAACGGAACCAGGAAAGCCTGTTTTTGTTATAGGGGTGACATGGAGATATGCAAGACTTTCTTCCCCCAGGGTCCAATCTGCAGACAGCATTTGCGACCTCAAACGTCGATATTCGGGTGCTTAGACCCCGCGAGTTTCCAAGACGCGCAGTATTCAAGTAATATCTGAGCCCGAATAATTAGAATTAGAATATAATATGGTTTTGGGGTTTATTATACTATAATCGGAATAAGGTTTGAGGTTTATCATACTATAATTGGAATAAGGCACCCTCAAAAATAGTATAGGTAATCATTTAGGCCCCTACATTACACTTGCGCGACCAATCCCCTAAGCCCTATAACCCCCCGAGCCTAAAGCCCTAAACCCTAGACCCTAATTCCTGAATCCAAACCCTAGAGCCAAGCGAGGAGCGTACAGCAAGCCGGGGCCATCGAGCTGCACGGGTGGAAGACGATAAGCTCACAGAAAGCAGGGTCGATGAATACCTAGGTGGCAAGGAGGTACTATCCCTCGTGGACATTGACAACAAATGGCAAGACGTGGCTCTGTCTTCATTGTGCGCGGTTTGCTGTGCGCTCCCATTCGTCGGGTGTGTGTTCGCACCCGTTTGGATGTGGAAATACGGGGTCCGGCCAGCCTTCCACTGTGAAAACTGCTTCGGCGTGTTGAATGAAGTCGTGTTGTGGCTGATGGTCTTGGTCATGCAGTACGACAGCACAAAGACTTGCCTATTGTCATATTTCCTGGTAGACCAAGATCAGGTCCGCTATGCTGCACAAGTGTTTCAGACCACGCTAGTCGTACAAGCATGTTGGATCGGTTCGCTCTTCTGGCGCATACTGGTTGTCGAAGCACTTGATACAGGTGCCCATGTGTCCAAGCATAAGCTGAAAGCTCGAAAAGACTTCCGCATTGAGAGTTCCCCGTCCGCATTGAAGCGCACGCCGAAGATTGCCAACCATCGTGCCTCATACTTCTTGGAGCAGCTCGGGGTAGAATCTCAGTTCGAAGCAACTCCCGCTGAGTTTGAGACCATGCTGCGAAAAGTGCACATCCCGAGGTGGCAGTATCTGGTGATTGCGGCCTCAACTGCTCCACTCCAAAACAGTCAAACCCTAAACCCCAAATTCTTAAGCTGATTGGAGGAGCCTTTTTAGGGTGTAGCAGAAAACAGTTGCAACCATCCAAGGTTTAGGTTCATATTGGCTGCGATAGAGATACAATTCAGACAGCACATCATGTCTCCGTAATCCTAGCTAGCTTTAACGCATGCTACGATGTCTGCGGGTGGTGACGGAATCTCCTCGACAGCAGACCAGAAATTCCTACACGCGCAGGGTTTAGAGACGAAGGTTTCCTGTTAAAACCCCTGAAAACACAGCCGCATGCCAGGGTACTTAGCAAGGCATCGATTCTGGCGTCGGTCAGGATCCGTGCGTCGCGCTGCAACATCTGGTTGATTGCTATACAGGCATCCAGGATGTTGAACATTGCGATGGTCAGCGCAGTTGTGAGCATGATCGTCCCCGCAAGTCCGTAAGTGAACCGTGTGTCATGCACGAACCAGTCGAGAAGTCCTGCGATCATGATGGAGCAGAGCAGAAGCGCTGTAGTAGTTGCAGCAACATCCATGCCGGCCGATTCATCCACGAAGTCGAGTTGCAAGAACCTCCGAACTCTCCACCAAGTATGGACGTCCTCCAACTTGGTAAGGTCTAACGTGTCAACATCATCTAGGAATTGCCGCACATACTCTACATTCTCTGCATCAGCGTCTCCAGGCTCATGACTGTCGAGCGCACGAGCAAGGCTTGAAAGTCGCCTCTTTTCTCTTGCACTCCAGGAGTCCACGTTTGCTTGCTTAGTCTTGGCAAGAAAGACAAGCAGCCGGCTGGCATTCTGTCGAAAGCTCTGCGTCGTTCGAAGTATGCCAGAAATAAACTTGTACCACTGTACACCAGCAACCACACCAACAAAGACATTTTCCACTACATCCCATGACGGTAATTCGAACCAGCTCAGCAGGGACACCTTTGGAATCTGCTTTCGTGTTTCGTTCCATACCTTACAGGACGCGGTGATGGCATCCGTTACGTTAACGGAGGCCGCTAAGTTGTCGTCCTCCTCACACAAGCCTTTGAACATGACCTGCCTGCAGTTGGCAGCAAAGAGTGGCATCTAAAGTTGAACGCCCACCCCACCCCTCAATCGTAAAATCACCCTGCAAAGTACCATAATGGTAAGTTTACTATCATGCAGTTACAGGAGGTAGGTACCTGTAGTCTCCATTGTAGTTCCCTTTTTTGGTTAACCAAAAACTCCATGACAGGATCCTAACATATCCTGACCAGAAAATTGGTTAACCAAAAAAGGAATTACAATGGAGACTATAGGTATGTTCCGTTAGAGTCACCCAAGACCAGGCGAGTCGGCGGAGCAGTCGAAGGTGAGTTCTTTGCTCGAAGCCTTGCAACGAAAAGTTGAGGCATCTCGGACACACAAGGTCTCCTTTGACTTCTACGTGATACTATGGATCATGATGACCATGAATGCTTGTAGGGCCCGCTTTCTTGAATCCTAGGAGGACGTTATTTCATGGGTTCAGGGCTTGTCAGTCATGGCAAGATGTCCAGAAAGGTTGTGCACCAAAACGGCTACAAGCCTTTTCAATGCCCTCGTCACGGGTTCGAAGTGCCCATATGCCAACTAGCGCAGCATGTGTATCCTCATCGGACAGCATTGCCGGCACCCTGTGAGCCTTTAATGCTTCCAGGCTTTTGATGAGCAGCAGCAGCATCTGTTCGGCATCACGATCACTGCCAACCTGCGGAATAGCTGGGTGGCGACGCTCTGTGCAACAGGCTTCTCAGACATATAATCCGCCGAATTCATGTCTGCAACCTTCCTACCTATAGTCTCCATTGTAGTGCTGTTTTTGGTTAACCACAAACTATATTATAGGATCCTAACCATAGTATTGGTTAACCAAAACGAGGAACTATAATGGAGACTATAGGTAGCATTCCCAAGTTCCAAAAGGACAACTAATTATATGCCACGGATTGTTCCTCGAAGCAAGCCCAACTCCTTAGGTGAAGAAGAGGGGTATCCCATGTTCTAGTCTGGCCCCTCAAGGTCTGACCACAGCGTGGCAGATGCTCCGCCCACAGGTGAAGGACTTCACTTTCGACACAATCCAGGACACGGGAACAATGCTGAAACTCTTTGCATTGTTGTCGTTTGTTGGATACCGTATCCCTAAGGGTCCGAGTACTCAATTATCATATACTCTCAAGAATAGTAACCTACATAACTACTATCCCGAACCCGAGTACCTAATTGTTGGCTCCTTTGGACCCTTAGGGTATTCTTCCTGGCCATAAATCCTACACCCAGCATCTTAGGCTGTGCAGCTTACTCTCCGAACTCCAGGCCCTAAACCCAAACTCTGGACCCTAAACCTCACACCCTACTTGGAGGATCAGGGGACTTAGTAAGTTAGGTTATAAGTACCCTAGTAGGGGGTTATAAGTAGCTATAGGTATGGTTACCTTAATTATAACCCTAGTTACTAAGTCCCATGATCCTTCAAGTATACATCCCTCTCCTATAGACCCTAAACCCATCTATCTCCCCCCACCAATGAAAGCTTAAGTTATACTAGTAAGAACCTTCATATGGCCCATAGTCCAATCTCCTAGTATCCCCCACTGATAACTGCTACATTGCGAATAGCTGACTCCTTGTATAAAACAACACCCGCTAAGGAGTTTAGACCTCAAGACCTAAACTCTAAACCCTATACCAAACAACATCATGTAGGACAACCCTGAACCCTAAACCCTACACCAAACGGTATCATGTAGGACAGCCTAGGGCGGCTTCCCGTTCCAGATTGGCTGGAAAGCTTCGCCGTGCAAAAGCTGGCTTGAGCCACTGAGGCGGTTGGCTCCGGGCACCCACCTATAGTCTCCATTGTAGTTCCTTTTTCTGGTTAACCAACAACTCTATTATAGGATCCTAACCATAAAATTGGTTAACCAAAAAAGGAACTACGATGGAGGCTATAGGCATAACCCAAAGGGTCCTAGGTACCGTTATGGGGGATACTTCCCCAAATCATAACATGTACTAATTCCGAATACAGAAAGCCTACTGTCTACTATATAGCTACTTAGGACCCTTTGGTTAATTATGTGGTAGTTTGCAAAATTCATGGGGAACCCAATATGGACCCCAAAATATTCAAAGCCTCATGATGACGGAAGAAATGGGGGGATGGGATAGTTCGCAGATTCTTTTCCATTCCCTCTGTCTTACTGACATCGAGCAAGTCATTCCTGCAGTCAGGGCAGTGCTCCTGGCCACTCCGTTTTCCCAGCTAAACTGTTCGGAAAGCGGTCAGCCGCACTCGCGCATCAGAACTCGCCTGTTTCACATGAGTAGTCTTTTGATGGGTGTACCACGCTTCCCGATATGGGGTAGGATTCGCTCTGCCTGGTGACGTGGTGGTTCTAGATTTCATAAAAGAAACATAGTCGGATTTGTTTCAGCCACCAAAGGATGCTACTCACTTCTGATGTTGCCCTCCCAACTCAGAGGGCCACCAGCCTCAAGGGCTTGAGTGCCGCGAGACTTGAAATGCAATGAAGGGTTATCTGTACGCGTCTGCCCGAAACGACAACATCGGCTCCTGAACCATCAAATGGTTTAAATGGATTACTGGATATTTCTGCTGAAGAGCGTATAGGGTAAGTTTGCACGTAGGGGAAAGTTGGGAGGCTTTGGTGAGTCGTATGTAGGAGACTACGTTAAGCAGCTGGGTGATGATGGCCTGTTTCTTGTGCCGACTAACGGCCGAGGTGAGGTAAGAACCTGACTCAAGTTTTGAGGGTGCCAATCGAGGCCTGAACCCTAAGCTCCCAAAGGCCACGAACGTTCCGAATTCAGTCGGCTCGATCCGGAATGCCTTGCACCCTAAACCCTAAACCCTAAACCCTAAACCGTATCCCTCAAGGATCCTCGACCCCTACTTGGAGGGGCAGGGGACTAGGGTTCAGGGTTCTGAAAGGGCTCCTAAAAGGGATCTATAGGGTTCCTTAAAGGGATCTATGGGGTTTAGGGTTTAGGGTCTACTTGGAGGGGCAGGAAACTTAGTAAGCCGTTTATAAGTAAAGTTATAATTGGGGTAACTCCATTTAGGGTGCTTATAACTCTACTTATGGCCTACTTACTAAGTCCCCTGCCCCTCCAAGTAACCGACCCTGTTGGACCTCAAAAACATGGTGGCCTTAAATGCAAAGGTCTGAATTATTGATAAGTAGGGTTGATGATATAAATCCTGGGGTTCCAACCTAAAGCTCCGAAATTCATGAAAGTCCAGACGACTTCGCAAGGTTGCGGAATGTCGAAGGAGACGTGTGCGGAGCCAAGATCGCAGAGCAGCGTTCTTTCTTCCGCGGTTGTAATTTGAGCCCGAGGCTTCGGGGACAAGGATTGGGTACTGCCCCCCCTCAGTAACAGTTGGATAATATTCACAGTATAGATGTTTTAGGGACCTTAATAGTAGCCCTATTATAGACTGCTACTGCAAGGGGAGCAGTACCCAAGTCAAGGAGTTACTCACTTCTTCAAAGGAAGTTACTTTAAACATCCTGGCCTTGTGCGATGAAGAAGCCCTGCTTCATTACAGTTCTTATATGCATCCTAACTAATGTTCTGGGGTTAGAGGACCAGGTTTTCTTACTCAAGCTGCAAGATTAAATGGCTTGAGCTGTTGCCGTTAGGCCATACCCCAAGGGCCCAAGTACCCAATTATCATATACTCTCCAACACCCTAACCTACATAACTACTATTCTAAACCCAAGTACCTAATTATTGGGTCCTTTGGACCCTAAGGGATACTTGATGGCCGAGGTCACGACGCGATGCCCTGACGGCCATGGCGCAGGACTCCACTGCTTGAAGGATCATGGGACTTAGTAAGTTGGGTTATAAGTTATAAGTACCTTGATTGAGGTTATGAGTAATTATAAGTATGGTTACCTTAATTATAACCGTAGTTACTAAATCGAATGATCCTGCAAGTGGGATCAAGCCAACACGAGTGTCAGAGAAGGGCCTGCCCCTTAGATACTGAACAGGGGAACTTTAAACTTTTTGGCCTCATATACTAGCTCTATCTTAAAAAGATGGAACTTTTTGGGGCCCGGTTGTTGAAGAAGAGAGGCTCAAAGTTTACCATTCCACACTACTAGCTACTACTAGCTACCACTGCTGCTGCTTCTACTACTGCTACGACGGCAACTACTTATTACTACTACTGGCCAAACTCATGGTAATGATGACAGTACTGATAACTGTAGTAGAACTGGTATTTTTAACGGCCATCGAGGAGGTCATCACATGGCTGGTGAGGGGATGTGGAACGGCCCTGGAACTCCGCAACTTAGGAACAAACTGTTTGGGCCGTCATCACACAGGGGGCTGCTGGCTCTGGTGGACAGCAGGCGAACTTGAGGCGACCACCCGACCGGTAGCGCACGTCCTCCTTCAACCGGATCTACGTGGGAGAGATGCAGTCTATGTGCAATTTGCGGCGGGTGGCAAAGAGCATTATTCGACCTGATTAGTCCAGTGTGCCGTGCGCCCATCCGCCCTTCGGACCTTTCGGATCTGGACGACCTTGCTGATGGCACGTCTGCAGCCAGTACACCTGCCTGTTTGCATGAACAGCTGTGGGTTCCAAAAACCGAAATTGGGTGGTTATCAAAATTAGGGTCCCTTTTTGGGTACCCTAAATATTGGGTGCCCCCAAAAACGGACCCCAATATTGACAATCACCCAAATCCCAGAGCCTTTAATCCCACACTCCCCAAACCACACCTTCTCAAACTCTAGGCCGGTCAGGGCCCACGGAAACTCCAAGCCCCAGGGCCCTATGTCCAGAGAATTCGGCCCCAAGCGCGTGCGGCTTAGACTTTGGGGTTCAGGCTGCGGTATTTAGGTTAAGGTTTAGGGTTTAATGGTTTAGTCTGCAGATTTGCGGTTTCCCGTTTAGGGTTTACGCTTTAGTGAGCAAGGCTGGAGGCTTCAGTGGTTAGGCTGCAAGAGTTTGGGATAGGAGTTTAGGGTTTCGGGTTCAGGAGTTTAGGGGTTTAGGGGTTAGGGGTTTAGGGTTTAGTTAGGGGTTTAGGGTTTAGGGGTTTAGGGTTTAGGGTTGGGCATCGCTGAAGGAGCTACTGGAGACATCTGCTGGAAAGCAGGTTGCCGCCCCTGCCTCGGAACTGGCCTTCATCTAGGCCTTAAGTATACGAGTAGGTATCCTTTGACCTTTTTTGGGTAGTATAGTCCCTATATAATCCCTAAATAACCAAAAAGGTTAACCTTTAGTTTCCCATGATACCCGACAAGTAGGCAGCGTTCAGGGTTGTTGCTGTTCCAGCCTCGGACCGAGTTGTCCTTCAGGGTTTGGGGTCGAGGGTCTTGCTAAGCCCGCCAAGCCGCTAAATCCTTAGGAATTTCAGGAATCGTTGGTGGGGCTTGGGGTGTAGGTTTAGGGTTCCTCAGGAATCGCCTGTGTGCGTTTATGGCTTGTTCCGCATAGTGTTTGGTCTTGGATCCGAGGGTTGAGAGTCTGGAGTTTGTTGCGCGCAAGCCCCAAACCTTCTGACCCTGACCAAACTCCCAGAGACTCCAATAGCCCTTGATTAAGGAATATTCCTTAAATTATAATGGGATCCCAAATATGATTTACAGAATATTCCTTTAAAACAATTAAGGCATACTGGAGTCTTTGGGGTCTTAGCCTACCTTTAGTCCACCCGAAACCCGAAACTCCTATCGATGTTTGTTCCCTCTTAAGTCACATCCGGGGTCGTAATGAGATTTCCATCCAGGGATACTGGAGACCGTGAGTAGATCCCTGCAAATATCAAGCCCTCAACAAAAACACATACGAATCATATGAGGGTCCCGTCCTTACGGCAAACTCCAAGCAACAAATCTAGAGCACTGGACCCATCGTTCGCGGAAGTCGAGTCACACCCTTACAAGCTCTAAGCCCTGCAACCTTGGCCCCTCCGCCGTGAGCTCGTCGTCCCATAATCTATGGATGGACCATGCAAGAAACCCCACAAGGACACCAGAAGGGACCCTGAAAGGAACCGCCGTTTATGGCCTAGGGTCTACCTGTATCCCCAAAACCTACAAAATAGTAGGTTGTGACCCCTTACTTCCCGAGTATAACCCCCGAAACTGTGTAGGATTTTGGATCCCCAGGAAGGACGGTTGGCTTAACAACCTTTGGGCTGTGACGGTTTAGGGTTTACTTGAAGGATCATGGGACTTAGTAACTAGGGTTATAATCAAGGCAATATACTTATAATTACTATTAACTCAATTAGGGATACCTATAACCTAACTTACTAAGTCCCCTGATCCTCCCAAGTAGACCACAAACCCTAAACTCTATAGATCCCTTTAAGGAACTCTATAGATCCCTTTAAGGAACCCTATAGATCCCTTTAAGGAACCTTTATCAAAACCTAACTTACTAAGTCCCCTGATCCTCCAAGTAGGGTCCCTCCGAGGCAGATATCAAGAGCCTGGGTTGGGTCTCTCCACCCACTTTGGCCAGAGCCCCAATCAAAGGGAAAAAGGAGGGACCCTTAATTTAGGGCTCTTAGGGTTCCTTTAAAGGGATCTATAAGCGTTTAGGGTTTAGGGTTGAGTAGGGAAAAGGGAGGGACCTTTAATGGGGACCCCCTTATCCTTTCATGGGCTATATAATGGGTATATAATAGCTATATTAAGGGTATATTCATAGGGGTCCTTATTAAGGGTCCCTCCTTTTACCCTTGGACCCAAGGCTTAGGCAAACACTTGCACGTGAAAATGTCCGACGGTGCCGTGTGACACATCCACGACATC